TTATTTTTAAAAAGTTATACATCGAACAACCCCCACCCCCCAAAAAAGTCAATAGCTTAGTTCCCCTTGGACCCTAGATTTCATGCATAAACCCCTTCCCCACAAATGGCCCGAGGAAAAATTGCAATTTATCGATAAGGATTTTCTATTCCAATGAGGAGATTGAAGTTACAACACCTTGTAGAGTCCTATTCAACTAAGACTATTGAGTCTTATTTGTATTAGGAGTATAAGTCCTATTGTAATTAGGAGTATGAATTCTTTTACAATTAGGAGTATTAAATTCTTCTATTCCAGCAAGGAGATTGAAATTAAAGCACCTTATAGAGCCATATTATAATTAGGTGTATGAATCCTATTACAACTAGGAGTATAGAGTCTTATGTGTAATAAGAGTACAAGTCATATTTCTATTAGAAGTATAAGTTTTATTATAATTAGGAGTTTAAATTCTAGATTTAGGAATCTTAATTGATTAGGAGTTGTAGTCCTATTCATATCGGGTGTTATTTTTCTTTATCACTATATGGCCTTTTTAACATATTGGGTGTTGTTTAAAAAAATTCTATGAGAAAATTCTATTTAAATAACAAGTCCTATTCTTATAATAACTCTTATTAGAGCGCTGTTCAAATTTTAAGATCTCTATCTAGATAGATAAATTGTAACATGTAAATCGAAGTTAGTTAAGAAATCATAGAAATAGAGCATTGTTCGCTCCACCAAAAATTTGTCTTTCTATTTTATTTCTTGTAGTTGTAATTCTCTTCTACCTTCCCTTTTGCTCCACCCGATACGTCTGGTGGATCAATTGTTATCAAAGCTAAATTCCTCAATGAATGTCAGAACAAGACGATTTTACACCATGTATGAGTAGGTTAAAGCTATGCATGGATTCTTTGACAATGATGGAAAAGGTGTTGTTTCAAATTTCCTCAGACCCCTCTTCTTCAAAACCAAACACTGAAGACTCTACAATGAAAAACCCTAATGCCACTAGGAAGTGCTCTGATACCAATTGAAAGCACCCTAGAAGGGGGTGAATAGGGTTTATGCTAATCTAATTCGATTTAATACCAATTAAAAACTAATTAACAAATATCCTAGCAAGTATGATATATGACAAGATATATATGCAAGGATATACAAATAATACAAGGGTAAAACAAACAAAATACAAGTAAGATAGTGGGCAATATAAACAACAAGCAATAGACAAAGGCG